GTGCAGCACATTTTGAGGGGAAAAAAAGATGTTTATATGCGCCTTATAGTCGCGAAAATACAGTAACAGTAGGACATAAGTAAGGTCACTATCCCTTCATCTTTCTCAAGGTGAATAGAGCTAGAGGTGCTCCTTTGTACAATCAGACATATTAAAAAACAGAAGTTCCAGATAGAGCATCCTAACTGAATCCTCACTTTTATTTGCTGGAAATGAAAAATATTGCATTATTTTATTTTAGTTTATTGTATATGAAACAACAGTCTGATTATTTTTTGTTGCTTATCTTAGAGCCTTATCAAAGATCCAGCCAAACTCGGCTCAGACCTTCTACGCTCATCTAGTGTAAATATTTTCCAATGCTTTGTTTCCTGAAGACAGTGTTGTAGCGATTTAGGCTGTGAACAGTTTTTCCCCTTGATTGCAGAAACGGTTATTCAAATACTTATTCAAAAGAAATGAAACCCATATGTGGATGATTATATAACCAACCTACCTGAGGCAGAGGTTTTGTCTTGGTTGAGATGTTGCACAGGCTGCATGGAGTTATGTGCTGACTGGGGTTTATTCTGGGAGGCCGGGCCCATGGCATCCTGATCGGACTGAGTGGTCCTGTTCCACATATTCACAGCGCCTCCGCTGTATTTACCTAGAAAAAATGTTTTTCACATCCTTGTAAATAGAACATTTGGTGGTTGTTTTTTTTTAGGGAAGCACATTCAGATATTTTTTAATGATTCTAAGCTGAACATTTGTTTCAATAAAAGCATGTTAAATTAAAATAATTGTAAAGCATTTATTTCTCTGTAATTCTATTCTACTCCGTCCTTCAGTCTGCATGCTTCTATATTTATATGCATGTTACTGTGCTCCAGGTATACATAACCCCTCAGATTAAGGGAAAATGCAGCACATTTCTATTTTCTCACAAATCTATTTCTAGGAATCAGCTTTCAGCTTTAATTAGAGTAAAACTCTTGTTGAGGAGATCAGAAGTTTAAGTTGTCATTACCAGGATCTCCCCAAGCTGCAGTCCCATCATCGATTTCCATCCTCCGACGGATAGACTCAGGAGAAGGCTCCTCCCACCCAGATGAAGCTTCCTCCTTCTGACCGACAGCAGGCATTGGGCCTCCAAGCCACCCTAAAACATAAACAAAAACATGGCGGCAGTTTGTTTTAATTCTCTTTGAACTGGTCAATGCTAGTGATAAACCCTGTGATTCCCACCTGAGGATTTGTTGGATCCTTGATTTCCTCGGGATATGCTGGAGTCAGGACCTTTGCCCCATTCATTAGAAGCCTTAGTGTTGGAGTCGCCCCAGTTCTGAGCTCCATGATGGTTCCTCCCTGGCTCACCCCAGCCGCTGCTTTGCGAGTTGGGTTTGTGGACAGAGTCTCCCCAGCTGGAGCCAGGGTTTGGAGTGCTCTGATCGGGAGTATTTGACCCTCCACTGCCTACCCAGGTGTTGCTGCTGCTGGCGGTGTTTCGGCTTGGCTCGCTCCAACATCCAGAACCTGAGCGGTCACTGTCGCTGTCCCAGCCCACTGAGCCCGCACCCTTCTGAGGTTCCCCCCAGTGGTTGCTGACTCCTGATCTGGTGCAGTCACCATTGTTGCCCCATCCTTCACTAGCATTTCCACTATTGGAACCCCAGCCCTGCTGCGGTTTAGGTGTATTAGTCCATGTCATTGACCTTAGAGGGAAAACAAAACCCAAAACCAAACAGGTTATGAATACATACAGGAAACAACCTGAAATAAGAGAAATTTAGTAGGCAAATGTCAGCCATACCATTCCTACAGTTAATGAGATTTACAAACAAGATACGCGTGAGATACAAGTTTCCTTAAAGGTATAGTGGAGGATGTTCCTTTTCTGGGTGGATCATCCAAATAAGTCATCCTCCTAATTGTGAATCAATGTGGTGATATGTTTACGTAAGGCTGTCCTACATGCTGGTCCCCATTTTCACTTATCGGTGGTGAGTCTTACATAGTGGAAAAATTGCAAATCTTCTTTTGGAAACTGAGCTTGTACGAGTGATGCAAACAGCAACTTTTAAACAGAGCGTGCACGAGGAGAAATGGGCTGCTGCATGCTCTTGCACGCGCTTAATAGGTGTTCCCTCTCAGGGGTGGGTAAAGGGTTGTACATGTGCATTTTTTTTTTTTTTTTTTTAAGTGGACAGGTCTTTTCAAAAATTTATGATAATCCTCCACTATACCTTAGAGGGAAAACTTATGAAGCACTTCCTCTGCAATGATTTTTACTGGTTTAGCTGGCTGAAAGATGATATTTTAAAACTGCCATTGGCAACCTTCATGAAGTAGAACTATGGAACTTGTAATATCATGTAGAACAAACATTTGAGGACTAAATACCCTAAATAATCAACTTTTTCAGCAGTGGTAGCAACATGTTGCTGGACTGCTTCAACTGGAATTTAAATCATGTTCAACAGTCTAGTGTAGAAAAACTGCATTCAATAGCTTAACTCAACATAGAGAAAAATTATATACAGAAAGTAGAGTACTGCTACAGGTACCATACATTCTGACGTTCCTGGTTTAACAGAGTAATAGCTGATAGCAGCTGAAACAGGTCAAGTTTATCTGTTCCAAAACCTGCTTTTATTCTATTGATATTCTTGTTTCTTTCAGCGAGCTGATCAGCAGTGCCTAACAAGAGGTAGCTGAAACGCAAGTGCGTCAAAGCTATACGTTTTGTGCAGCTTATTTTCTCCAGCATCTTATTGAAAATCCTTTAAACCAGAAGACAAGTATGAGAACAGCCCATTCCTGGACAGGAGTAAAAACCAAGGCGTTCATTACCTGTCCTCTTTTACATTGTTGCTCCAGGTGTTGCTGCTGCTGTTCCCACCCTTGTAACGGGATCCATCGTCCCAGCCACCTCCTCCTTTACTGTCCCAACCTGACGACTGTTTCTGTTCTCCCCAGCCAGATCCTCCACTGTCAGGGCCTGAGCTGCTTGGCCCAACCCCCCAACCTGCAAGAACATCCAAGATACCACCGTCAGTTTTCCTTGTTATTGGTTCTACAGAACAAACACATATATTTCACTGTTCTTACCTCCAGAGGTCTGGGAGGGAGCTGCCGTTGTTGCTGTGCCCCAGTTTACCCCTCCCCCGCTTTGCTTCCTTTCATCCACTTTAGGACCCTGATTGTTCGCAGGAGAATTGACGTCCCAAGCGGTGTTCTGCCGTATGGGTGTTTGTCCCCATCCAGTGTTGGAAAGGACCCTCGGGTCTACGTCGGCTCGGCTTAAAACTGATATTATCGAGGCGGTGTGGTTCCCTTTCCTGCGGTTTCCACCTTTAGGCTGATTGAGGTCTCTGTCGGAGCTGGATCGACCTCCGGAGCTTTCGCAGCTTCCTTCACTTCCTCCAGAGCGACCCCAGCCTCCAGTGACCCCTCCGAGGCCCTGACCTCCACCGCCAACCCCAGCTCCTCCCATGCCCATGGCATCATCCTCAAGACTTTTCCACCCGTTGTTGGCAGCGTTTCCTTTTGGAACTCCTCCATCTGAACTGTTGTTACCAGTAGTTACCGATCCCCATTCTCCATTTGACGTCTTGCTGTTCGAGGTGGAAGAAGACGACGACGAGGAAGAAGAGGATGCACTGCTCCCCCAGGGGTGAGGAATCCCTGCTGGAGGGCCCATAGTAGTTTGGTTTCCGCTTCCTGGTGCTTGGCCTGTAGAGCCTGGGGTTTGATTAGAGCCAATACTCCAGGGCAAGTTACTTTGAGGCTGGTTTGGGGTATTAGTGGGCCCCTGGTCCCACCGGGGGGCCCCAGTGTTATTGTGGTTATTATTACTCTTAAAAGCAGCAGAAGAGGAGATCTGGGGGTTCACAGTGTCTACATTTAAGGGGCCTTTGTCTACAGGGTAGGTAGCTGTGCCCCAAGGGGTACCAAAAGCCCCAGTACCCCCAGGTTCACCTTGAGGGTTCTGGGGAGCTAATGCGGGGTTTCCATTGGCTGGTGGCCCCCCATTTCCTCCTCCAACGGAACCCCAGGGACGATCTCCGCTGAGAAGGGGTGAGGCGGTAGAGTCTGGTGGGCTAGAGGTCATTGTGGCATTAGTAGTAGTAGTAGTATTCATCATCATGATAGTGTTATTTGGTCCATTGGGTTCAGTGTTAAGGTTGCTAGGCTGCAGGCTACCATTTCCACTGCTGCTGCCTCCTAACACCTTGCTGCTCGATGTACCATTATTCACCTCAGCGTCTTCCATCATACTGCCGCTGTCTGGAGCTGCCATGCCACCCCAGCCCATTAAGGGCCCCTGTTGAGGAACCACACCCAATTTGGAAGTCATCCCCTGAGCCTGTGAAGGCCTCTGGCCCTGGCACACCGGGTTTGGGGTTGGATTCTGTGGCCAGGCACCATGGTTGGCATTTGGGTTTAAAATGTTTGGGTCTGACCCTCCATTTAGAAAAGAGTTGCTTCCAGCGATGGTGTTAATGTTGCTGCCTGACTGAGAGCCCCATACAACACCGCCAACTAGCTTGTTGCTGTGGTTACTCATATTATTGCTGCCAATACTGCTGGACCCAGCCATGGAGTAGTGTGAGGATCCGGTGATGTTTTCTTCGTTTGCGTTGCTTAAGGGTCCCACTCCTCCGACCTGACAAAGGTTGCTGTTGCTGTCTCCATTCACACCAACACCAACCATAATGTTGGATGTCAGAGAGGAGGGGGAAGATGCTGTAGAGGAGACGGAGGAAGAAGCGTTGGCTGACATCATCATCACTGTAGTCACAGCAAGGCCGAGGTTCTTCTCTGAACCCACAGAAGAGCTAGAATCCGCATCCATGCATTCTGATGCCAACTCCGGATCCGACCCTGAGCCACAGCCAGAGGAGGATGAGGAGCAAGAAAATGAGGAGGAGGAGGGAGGCCAGACAGAGGAGCTGGGGGAACAAGTGTTATTGGATTTGTCAGAGCTTCCGTCAACTAGGACTTTGCCCCAGTTGCTGTTGCCGTCGCTGCTGCACGGGGAGCCAGAGGACCAGGGGGAGGGCTCATACTGCGAATCCAAGCCAGGATGCTCCAAACCTGGAGAGAACAGGAAAAATGGTGAATTACAGAAAAGTTAAAAACATTCAGAGCCGTTTATGTCAAAATCAGCAGAGGCTCCTGATCAGGAGCTTTTGAATCAGAGGTGAAAACCTAACATTAATATTTAAGAAATTTCTCTAGACTCTTCTTCTGACCCCAGCTGGTAAATAGAGGCAGATTTGTAAAAACAGCAACACCTGTTGTTTAAAATCAGAACTGCAGTAAGTGTGCTTCCTCAGCGAGTATAACAGGAACCACTTTAGATGGCAGGACTGGTTGGCGAAAGGCTTAAATAAAAATCCATTCAAGCCTTTATCCTCCCATAGCAGAACCAGTCCACAGTGATTAGTAATTCTATTAACAGGGTTAGAGGTCCCTCATCTGCCAGATGACTACTTCCAGAAAACACAAAAAGACAACGTTGAGGGCCTCCAAATCATGGCTTGAAAACGTTCTCCAACTAGTTTTAACGTAACAAAATACAACAGATTTACATCCCAGTTCTCTAAATGCATCTAAAGCTTCAATTTAAAACAATAATATAAGGATAAGAGTCAAGTAATAGATTTTAATCTGCTGTGCTACAGTGCTGTTTAATTGGGCTGCAAAGTCAGTGACCACCTGATGCTGATTCAAAGTCTTTAAACTGAAACACCCGTCAGTGACACCCAGCTGTCTCAGCAGTCATACAGCTTGGTATGGCTAGGTGTGTTGGGCCCTCTAGGTGGTTTTAATCAGACGTCCAACTGACAATCTTGCATATTTCTATTCCCTCTAAGCTTTAATTTGCCAACTGTTCTGAATTTTATCGCTGCCAAAGCCAGGCCTGGACACAGCTGCCACCGTTTTGTCTCCACAGCAGGACACAAAAGCACGCCAAGGCAATTAACCAAGATTCATCGAGGCAGGCAACTGAGGGCATAGGAAGGGTGGCAACTGAGTGAGAAAAGAAAGGGCATAATTTGGCAAGAGGGAGGAAGTGAAGGCATCTAGGACTGAGATCAACAGCATTCTGATCTGGCATGTTTCTAAAATTAGATTTCACAGACTACATCCAATTATGCCTCCCTAACCATTAACACGCCCGTTTTGTCATTGTGGCGGCTGCCTAATCCTCAGGACGTGTACTCGCTGTGGTAACTCTCTCACATTGCATCAGTCTGTCTCTTATTTCAGGAAACAAAAGTTTTATACTAAATAGTTAAAAGAGAATCTTAAAAGCAACGACTACAGAAGTTTAAAACATTTAAAGAGGGTGTAGTGACAGTTTTAATAATCGCTATGGTTCAAAGACAGACAGTTTGAGAATAAAAATGATAAATAAAACTCTTAAGAGGTGACTATTCGTTTTAAGACTTCAGTTTGGGGATTGTCAAACTAACACTGACCTCGAGACACGGTAATCAGTAAAAAGAGGTTAACTAAACTATCCAAGAATACAAGGTAAAATTTTACTGCATTTTCTATTTTATAATTAAAATAAAAAATGATTCTGAAGTTAATTTCTGTTTCTGTTATCAGGAGAAAAATTATCAGTTCTCCGTTTACCTTATCTGTTTGTAATCCGTTTACCTTAACTTTTTTTTTTTGCCCTCTTATGACAGTAAATAACCCGATATATAACTTTTGGCATGAAGGAAAATGCATTTTATGTAGTATATTATACATATGATAAAAAAAAAAAAAAAACGTTTTTATCTGAAAACCACTTATGTAACCGCAGACACTAATTTGATTATACAATTTAAGAAAAGGGTCCATCAACATTTGTAAAAACTGATATATCACAGACTTTCATTTTGACAAAACATTATTAATAATGTTTATACTCTTACTGTGTGTAAAATATTTCTAATATTTAGATCAGTTTCCACTCAGGACACAGAGGACTTTTTTAGATGCACATGAACATGTTACCCAATTTTCAAACATCTGTTCATGTTGTTGAAGTTTTAAGAAGTTGTAAACCAATGAGACAGTTTGATGAGGCCATGCCTAACTTTACGGTGGCACTAATGGACATCTGGATCAAGTTTCTCTTTTATTTTATTGTCTCCAAAAAAATAAATCCATGCCCACACATCAAACTTAGTTTGCCAACCTTTTTTCTTCTTTGGCTTTTATATATAATGAACACAACGTATCCTCTGTCTGAGTCAATAACAAGTCTTTGCATCTTTAAGCAAATGGGTAACCATAGAGAACTACAAGGAAGAAGGCCATGCAGGTAAAGAGTTCAGAGAGAAGGCAAAAAGTTGTGTCACCTGTTTGATTAGGGGAATGGCTGACGGAGTCCCGAATGGGAGCCATGCCTGGAAACAAGAGAGCAAGGAAAGGATCAGACTTGAAGGGTGAGAGAGGCAGAAAACAGGGAAAGATGTTAGAGATAGCAGGAAGCTTTCCTTCAAGAAAAGAAAGGCTTGCAGTATATTAGTACTTCTTTTATTGAAGAATCATTGATGAACTAAGGAGCTCTAAAAAATTATTATTACCATCATTAATATCATCATAGAATCTTATACGTTGTTGAGAACAAATTTGATAAAACAAGTTATACCTCTGTTGACAAGCTGTGTGATTAGCATGCAGACTCTTTTACTGTAGTTATGAATCAAATACAGACATTATTGTGCATGCAATCAAGAGTAGGTTCACTCTGAGGCAAACAGCATATTACAGTGTTCATACACCCATGTTAATAGCAGAGAAACAAACTGATTTTAGTTTGAGCTAAAAGACATCTTTTGGCCTTAAAAAAATAAAATGTACAATCATCAAAAGGACCCTTAGGAATAAGCGTCCATGGGTAGGAAAACTTTAAAAAAAAAGCTGCTTTGCTTTTCACTGCTTACCTTTGAGTGACGCTGGTGGCTGCAGCTCCTGGCTGGACAGGAGAGCGTCCCCGACCTCAGTGGAGAACAGGCGACCTTTGGTTCCCAGGTCGACAAGGGGGAGGTCAGTGGTCAAACTTTGCTAAAGCACAACCTCAAGGGTGTGGGGTGAGGAGGCAGAGCTTGTCAGAGCAGGCAGCAGGCTGATCAGCCCCCTTTGGCATTGCTGGGGACTTTGTGTGTGTGGATGTATGGATGGGAGGGGGTGGGGGGGTGATTTGATTAGGGTCTCAGTCTGGGCCAGGTGTGCTCTGGCACTGGAAAAAGAAAAGGAGAAAATTTAATTAGTCATTTTTTAAAACCAAACATAACCTATCAAAATCACAAAAGGCACTCAAAGCATTTTTTCTAAAAATGTATTTTTTGTTAGTTTTTTTTACAGCACTAGTTGCTCGTTGTTTTTTTTCAACCGTAGGCTGACAAAAGGTGGAATGAGAGACGGGGAGAGAGATGTGGCAAAGGAGCACAGGTCAGATTCGAACCCAGGTCATCTGCATCAAGGACTAAGGCCTCCCTACCTGGGTCATGCGTGCTAACATCTGCACCACCGAAACACGCCCTAAATCCGTCTTACACCGTTTTAATATTGACATATTAATCTTTTTATTTCTTAATTGTGAAGGAAATTGAAAACCTGAGTACATCACTGAAACAGCAGTTCACACAAAAAAAATATCCTTTTTACCTGATTTTATTACTGTTCAGCTATCATCCGCACTAACATCAGCTCTAAACTGGCTGAAGATTAAGAGAAACCGTGATCCTGATAATTGAGCCCTAATGCAGCAGACAGTTACAAAACTGGCAAAGCTGGATGTTTGTTTCCAAAGCATGACTGTGCAAGCCCACGGGGAGGCAATGCAAAGCTCTGCAATTTCACAGCTCTCACTGTGGAACCAATGAATGAAATATTGTGTAATATTTTCGGCTAAAAAAAAAACATTTAATATTTCTAAGAAAAATGTATGCTAACAATTTGATCTTTTCCCGATTTCGCTTTTAACTTTTTTTTCCTCCACCAAATGTTGCCAATTTTCGCTTCATCATAAAAAATTTGTCCTCTTTTATAGTGAAAACAATAAGCTGCAAACGTGTGTTGTAATTTGATTCTATGACCACCATCCCAACGTCTCTTTTTATGTATGACCACATGTTATAAATATGTGCACCGGTAAACTGGCATAAATTCTACAAAGATTTACACACGGGAAAAAAACACCAGCAGAATGTTCCATTTCTTTTTCTTACCAAGCTTCGAAATTTAATAAACATATTATGATTTATTTATCTGAATGAAAAAAAAACGTGCATTTTGAGCATAATTTGTAAAGACAGCAAACGTGTTGTTGCAGGTTCAGTCACGTTTGCAACAAAGCAGAAAGCTAGGAGAGGGAAATACTTCACGGGGCAGCAATCCGACCACTGAAATGGAACCAAGTTTTTGGCACAGAGCTGCAGGCCTTAGGCTACAGGGACAACAGAAATAGCTCTAGCTCATAGTTACCCTCAAGTCTTCTAATAGTTGTTCAATTTGTTGAAGCAATGAATAAAAAATATATATTGAGGAATACCTGTTAGCAAGAGCCACCTATGGTGATTAGTTCTGCTTTTTATTTATTAAGAAGATAGTTGGTCTTTATTGAAGTTAAGCTGATTTCTCTAAGGTTAATTTTAAAACATACTATAAGGAAAGATACGCCAACATCAATCTGCTCCAGGTAAAAGGGAAGAGGGTTGAATTTTGTGTCAAAAGGCCCGATTCTCTCAGTTTTTCAACCCAACGGATTGCACCATTAGGCTCCTGTGCAGTTTTCCTTCTTTGTGTAACTGCTTCTCTGGCCAGCACCCGCCTCTCTCATGTTTCTGTCTGCGATATAGCCCCTGATGTAATTCAGCTATCCCTAAAATTAGCAGCTCATTGGGCAACTTGCAGGTCTTATCTGCCAGACAGCATCTGGAGTTCTTGTTCAGCCGTATCTTGCCTGTGTAGCTAGTCATGCTAAGTGAGAGGATGCAGCAGAACAAGTCTAATCAGGAAGGGCTCCTAATGAGCCTGTAAGGTAAGAAAACGGGACAGAACTGACGATGGATGAGAAGAGACGAGACCAGTACTCTGATAACTTGGATTACAAAGAAAATGTCAGCCAACATTAAAATTAAAACACTAGATGTTTAAAGTTTAACTTGATATTTATTCATTTGTTTAGCAAATTATTTAAAGTGAGATCTGAAACATTTCAATTTATTTTTTTTTTCCTGTAGAAAAAGATTTTAACCAAGACCATAACCAGATGTTACCATACCTGAACACATTTTTATATACATTTCAGTGGAGCTGATATGGACTAGGACTGGAGCAATTGTTCAAATTAATTAATTATTGAAATAATCATCCACAAATGTTCACTGGAGAATAAAGGTCTGATATTTGTTCAATACTAAGCTGATCTAATATCTTAACTTTAATTCTGTTTACACAATGTTTAGCCTAATATCCTCACTCATATGTCCATGTATATACAGGTTAAACAATGTCAATGACATTTTCCACTGAAGGCTCTTTATGAATATTCTCCATAAAAGAACTTTAATTGCATTTCTGAATAAGTGTTTTTTTTTTTCTTCAATGTTTCTTTTTAAAATACAGGTTGGTTTTATTAGGTTTGTTAACTGAAGTGTGATCATTTGCTAAGAATATCTCTTTTTAGATCCAGTCCTATTAGCTTGCAACTGTATCCTTCAGATTTTACTATAATCTCAGATTGCCCTCTGACACAGCCGGCTTAAAGCCGTCAGCCTTTTACAAGCCGTCCAAGCAGCAAAAACCTCTCAAGGTAACAGCGTGTAACACTGAATAAACCATAAAATACTGTTGAAATTAACTCTACAAGGATCCTTCACTTCAAAATAGGACAAGTGTTTGAAATGACGTGTCCATTTTCTTTTCAATCTTTTTTTTTCTTTTTACACCACAGGTCAGAAAAAACAAGTTTGCTCTTTTTGCCCATTTAGAGCGCACAGACCTATTTATACATTTCCAGTTCAAATAGCAACCAGTCTACCCTCAAGCCAACAAGATAAGAGAACAAACAAACCCCATGTGGACAACCACCAAGTGTACAGATGCAACAGAGCATTGCTGTGTTAGACTAACAGAGACAAAATTACTTTTAAGAAACTGCAAAATACAAACTCTGCCAAACTCTGCATAGGAAATAAGGCAATCCTGACAAAATAAAGTCCTTAAAGTTAAACTTTCTAAGCTTTAAATAATCATCACCATAGAAACAATCTTAACAGACTACTAAATCGGGGTAAAACACCAGAATTAAATTATTATACCAGAAAATGTGAAGTGCATATCACTTAAAAAATAAACTGAGTAAAATCTCTCTTAAATACACACAAAGCAAAGCAGAAAAATGCGTAGTATGATTTATCAGTTATTTTGGAATTCCTGTAACATGATCAACATTATCATCATAATGATTATCTTTCCAAAGGCAAACCCTTTCTTTAAAGCATCGGTTACAGTAAATTTATGAAAGAGAGGAATTGTGGAAGTGGTATCTGTCTGGGTGGGATGAAAGGAAAAGTCAGCTTATATTCAGAATTCAAACTTCGGAAAGTACTTTAAATATGATTTTTTTTTTTTTTTTTTTTAAACATACCGTTTAAAGTCATTTAGAGTCATTTAATATGAATGTGCTTTCCTGGAGATTTCTGTCATTTTTGTCAAAAAAACACTCCTGCCATCTACTGGTTTGTAACGTCATGATGCGGCATCGGCTGCTGAGAAAGTCCCAATGCTGTATCTAGTGTTTGTCACAATGCCCTTATTATCCAAATCATCTTGAAAACATTCTTCTTTGAAATGTTGGCTACATATGACGTGTTTTTTCTCTGGCCAGAAGTTTGATGGCAAATCCTCCCTCTTCAAGTTGGCAATCCAACGACGAACTGGTCCTTGGAGGATTATGAATCAGAAAGGTGAAATAACTTAATTTTTTTTTTCACTTCTACCCAATGTATTAGGACTTTGAACTGCCATCCACATGGGCATTGTCAGTTTAACTATAGCTCTCACAAATTTCAATGGTGAAGTCCTCTGGAAATGTGACATAATTGCTGTTGATTGCAGATGTGTCTAGTAGTTCCCATTGATTTTGCTTGTAAAGTATGGAATGGCGCTAAGCTTAGCGCACCGTGATGTCACTGCCGGAAGATGTCAGGAGTGAGGTGTTACTATATTTGGGCAAAAATGGCCGGTCCCAGACTCAGTGATGGCAGCGAAAATCATTTAAATTTTTCACTGATTAAAACTAAATTCATTAAATGACCGCAAACATATTAGTTTTTTTTTTTTTTTTTTTTTTTTTACACATTTCAAAACTGAAGCTCATTTAAGCTGGTATTCCTCAATTCCACTACTTCTGCAAAACAACTAATCTGTTCAACACCATAAAACACAAGAGTAGGTAGATATTCATGTTCTTTCAGTGGTTTAGCTTCATAAAAAACACTTACTATTTGTTGCCATTATAAATTGTACTTCATCTATAAATTGCATTACTTTTTTTTTTTTTTATTAACAGAATATTAACCAATACTCAAGGTAACAAATCTATTTTGTCTGAAATTTGTTTCTTGATTTATCTAAGAGTTACCATGCAACCACACATCTAACTAAAGCTTCATGATTTCTAGACACAAATATAGAAATACACTAATGTTTGCATGAAGGCACAAAGCCAAAAAAGCTGTTAGTGGAATCTTGGAAACAGAATCATTCCCTGCACAGCTCAGTGTTAAATATTGTGTTACAATTTCTTAACAATTTTACTCCCTTATAATAGAATATGCATATAAAAAGGTCCAAACTTCTGTCGTCAAATTACTCCTGAACAATAAGAGTTGATTTATTTGTATGAAAAGTCTACAGAGGTTCATACAGAGACTTCGATTGGATTGATTCTGGATGTTCTGACCAACATCTTGTCATATTAGTATCTTTTGCAGATTACTGCAACATTAACGCAATAAAACTGTAGTTCAGCTCCAGTTCAACATCTTTAATAAACATCTTATTTATTATTACTCCTTTATTACAGGAGCAGCAAAGCGGCTCCAGTAAGAAGTTAGTGATTCAACATTATAAAAAGTAACTATTTTGTTTAATGAGGTTTATCAGCCCCTGTTTTGATGGCAGTCTTCCCAAACCGCTCCTCATTCCTTTGGGCTTGCCCAAGCAAGATGACATCAGTGTCAAAAGCAGCTTACAAATTTCCCTCTACAAATACCTTCCTGTATAAAATGATAGGTTAAGATGAGAGGATCCCTGAGGAAGTGCGAGCAAAACAATCTACTTTTCTACTGAAATGTCATGTTCTTTTAGTTGATCATTGAACATGGGAGGCTGAATACTACTGGGACATAGAGAGCACAGGGCTCCGTTTATGAGCAGGGAGCTAAGGAAGGTCTGAGTCTATCAAAACAGCATGACGTTCATGCAGCTACATGGCTAGTTTGTTGTGTGCAGGAGCAGATAAGACCACTTGTCATAGTTCACTACTGTCACTGCAGCTTTGGGAGGGTGGAGGTCTTGAGAGGCACCCACACAGTAGTCGAAAAAGGGGAAAAGCAAGCAGAAGCACAGGCCTCGGGTCTTTGGGAATGACTCACCCACTGGTTTTTACATTATTCAGTCATCCATTTGATTTAACAGTAACCTGCCCGCCCACATTTCTCCTTTATCTGCTCAGTCTGAAAATTTAAATTAGTCAGTGTTGAAGTTTTTTTTTTTTATGAGGTCATTTCAAACACTGGAGAATTATTATTTATTTTTATTTTTATTTTTTTTTTAACCAAAAATGCTTTGTGTTTTATATTAAAAAAAGGAGTATTTTGTCACATTAAGTATAAATTACTGTGACATCTATTTATTCAAACAATCCACCCTCCTTTCCACACTCCTCCAAACAACTAATAAACTCAAAAGTTCAATGATCAGGCTTTACATAAGCAAAAGAAAGCCTCATTAAAACTTCAGCCTAAGACATTTCTGCTGCTTTCATAACAATCCAACCTTTTGTCCATGAAACTAGAGCAGGCTCATGTAGTTTTCATAGAGGCCAACAAGTAGAGAAAAATCAATCACTTTCAGCTGTGCACAACACACACGTTTTCTGGTAACAGTGCCTTGAGTGTCAAACCTTTAGGAATATGGAGACTGGGAATGCACATTGCAACAGATGTGTGCAAAAGAAAGCAACAGTAGGACACAATGAATCCCACACTTTTCTAGGTGAGGGAAAGTTTCCTGCTTGAGGTAGCCGTGACGGTTTTCCTTGTAACATTAGAAGACAGTTACGGTGGAAACTAAGAGCAATCCAAATGGAAAACACTACTGCGTGACATGGCAACGGACGTCGGCAGTCTGAGTAAACACACTCCACAAGTGGGTCAGAAAATACTGCAACAATAATCCAAATGTCAAACAAATTGTTCACTAGGACCATTTTTCATTTATTCCACTTAATGTTTGCCGTCCAACAGCAAATGAGCAGCTGAAAATAAAGGCTAATGGATGCCAAAGTTTTCATATCCAATATTCTATGTGGAAATCATAACCAACTGTATGACAATGTGGTGACTAAAGAGTGTAAATAATATGGTGAACCATAAACATAGCAAAACTTTACATTTTCTAGTTGACTTCTTACCTTTAGTCCAGTCCTGTTTCTTACTGGATTCCTTCCTTTTTAAACTCTCCGTCTCTCTCTCTCTTCCATCCACTGTTCTTCCCTCTATGGGTGCGTTCCCTGCAGAAGAAAATAAAAACCTTACTCTCCAACATGTCGGGCCTTCTGTCATAATTAGGCTTTTTCGTCATTATTTACCTCCAGTAGTCGGTTTACTAACTAGGGCTGGTTTATTGAGTGATCGGTTAATGAAGGTATAATTTCTAATGCTACGTTCAGACCGGACGCTGCAAAAGCAGCAAAATCGCTTACCGCGGCAGCTGGTAGGTGTTTTTCATCTAAATAATCCGATCTGCAGGCACCAGAATAATAAAAGCCAACATATTCTGCCGGCAGATGTATATATTTTAAGTTAATAAACTGTTTAAGAGGAGTAATCAGAGCGGTCTGTGTCATCAGCGCTGTGTCTCTCTCCCAGCCAGCTCCCAGATCAGCTTCTCTGATTGGTTGACGCGGCGCGTCGAGCAGCAAAAATTCAATTTTTCCATCTCGAGCAGCAACGCGTTTGCGGCGCGTCACGCGCGTCAGATGCTAAAACGTTCCCGACGCGCTGCTTCAGCTGCTCAGACGCGCTGCGCCTGCAGCTCGAAACGCGCCGCGGGACCTTTTGCTGCGCCTTGACGCGCGTCAACCATTGACTTTGCATGTAAACTCGCTGCTTCTGTCGGGCCAGCTGCCCCCGGTGTGAACGCAGCATAAAGTATAAAGAATTGAATAAACTGATTTGGCAGAAAAAAAGGAATTTTTTAAGCCACATCTCCAAGCCCAGGTCTAAACCATTCTATTTAATCATGAAATAAAGTTCAACTTCTAAAACTAAACATTGAGATTGGAGACACGAAGAGTATTAAGGTGTGTTAGAACCAGAGCATGTTTACCTGTGACAAACATCTGTGTGTGCACAAGGTCCTAGATACATATCAGACCAACTACTCAGGCTCTGAATATTTACTCCGAGCCCTGAAAAAAGATTATATTGGATCCTTTTGCTTTCCAAATAGAATATAAAATACCCCAGGCCTGAGGCAATCAATCAGATTGATTGTGATTTGTTGATCATTGAAATAATTGTCAACTAATTTAATAATCAATCGCAACCTCAGACTTTAAAACAAACTCTTTAAAGAGTTTATGCTACTCTTTAAAGTAAACTTTTCAAAGCAGTTATTATGCCAAAAGTGGAAAGAAAATTATATAAAAAGATTATGCTTATTTAAAAAAAATTATTTGTGTGCAAGAATATCCTTAATATTCAGAAGTTTTAGCTCGGCAGATTAATTGATTAGCAAATCAGACGTTAGTTGCAGCCCTTAAATACTTTGAGTAAAAAGAGACATACAGTTTAAGAAATTAGCATGTTACACTGCAAAAATGTCCGGTTTTAAGAAAAGGCTTCATACGGCTAATATTTAAAGTTCAAACCCCATTCGATCGACTTATTAAAAAGCATAAAGCCTTGTTGTGTTAGGCCAAATTCAATAAATGTGTTAAGCTTATTTGCACCAGCAATGGAAATAGAAGTCTGCTTCTAAAAAGATAGTTAAAGTAAAAGTAATTCTGTATGTTTGGTGCTGCAGTTAAAGAAATGTTTCCTATTAACTGGCAGGAGAAAAACGTCTTTAACTTATTTGTTTTACTTGCAACAAATTATTTTACTCTGTGTCATGCAGTAAATGGAGAAAACTGTTATATAAATAGAACTATTTAAAAACAAAACTGCCTTTAAGTATTTCAAAGAAATATGTTTATTTAATCGGAGGGGAAATACAGGTAGTAGCATCTCTTAAAAAAAAAAAAGCCTGAATAACAAACAGCAGTGCATCCCTGACCTCACATGACATCCAGCATTGAGTGGCCCATAAGGTTGTGTTTCACCCTCTCTGAGTGATAAAGTTGAGATGTTCTGGATCGGGTGGGTGTGCCATTTAGCCAGCAGGAGAAGGCTGCAGCCTAATCCGATAATGAGATTACTGCTCTGCACTTATCTTTGCTTCACCCACACATACACACAGAGATAGTGAAACAACTCATCAAAACCACAAGATAAGAAATTATTTGACGTTATCTTGGAATTAGGTACTCTAGCAAAGCAATTCATTTGAAACTAAATTCTAAATTAATAAACAAAGATGTTAAAAAATTCATAAAATTCTCAATGTCTAGATGTTTTAGATAACCCTGGACTAAAAACTGGAAAACAACCCAAAATATTCAACATATGCATAGTAACGGAATTCACCAATACGATATAAACCAGTGGCAAATCTATTTGCATTAGTAACAACCAAGTGAGCCTCTTCTGATAGGCTGCTAAGAGGCATAGCCTTCATTCAGTCTTTGCACTGATCCACCATAAAGGAAGCCAACAATCTGGACACTACTTGGAAAGGGTTGCCAATAATCGTGGGTGGTGTTTAATGTACCAAGGTGGTGGAAACAAAACTACTCATATGGGAAGCACATTTAAAGCTTGCGCCTGTGGGTGGTCACTGCTTCCCCTGCCAAGATCTGGACTGAGAATCTATTCCTCGTTAAGCAGTAATTCTCACTGAGGATTCTAAGTGGCAAAAGCTATTCCAGTCTACTTGTTTTCAGTGACAGAAAACATTGGTTATTTGCCTTAACCAGTTAGGAGCCCATCTTCATATCCACCCCCCATCCAAATAGATCATTGAGAGCTCCAAAGGGTTTCACATTAGAACACAAGGGGAGCCCCCCTGGAGTGCCAAAGTACACATTACAGTCACTACATGTTTATGAATGTGCTCATCAATCAGCCTTCCTCCTGACAGAAGCAAAGCTGAATACAACTATGGATGGGGAGGGATTTATTTGATTCCTAAATAGGCCCAGGTAATACAGCAATAAAGAAGCCTGATAAACCGGACAAAATGCGAGATTAAATGTATAATTTAGTCTGGCTCCGATGAATAAGACATCGAAAGATTGTTGATGAGAACAACCTGTTGTTTTTCAAACCATGCCTGTGCCTGTTCAATAGTTGTTGCCATCTTATTTGTTGTGCTTTCTCCAGCTTTGCGCAGCTTTGTCATCCCGCCCTTAAAACTCGCAGGCAAAAATTTTTTGGCCGCTGGTGGGTGGAGCTAGTTTACTAGGCTAGCAATAAAGCTGATTTCAGGATTTATTTATTTTTATTGATCACTACAGCAGCTAACTGTACTTAACTTGTTTGGGAAGAGACCTTTTCTGAAAAAAAACATTTTAAGGTGCGTGTTAGCAAATATAGCGATGCAATTTTCCCAAACCTAGAATTTTCACCAAAGCACTTTAATTAACGCTGTTAAAGTACAAAGTACATTAAACAGGTCTTGAAAAGGAAGGCAACCAAAAAAATAATGAAAATAAGACACCAAATCCCTCTTTGGATAGAAACCACAAAATAAACTCTAGAGTTTCCTATTCATTGTGTCACATCAATTAATTGCTGAAGGGAAATTGGTACATCTATATACAGAAAAATGCACAAGGAGTTTAGAAAAAATAAACCTGAAAAGTTAGTTCTGTTTTTTTTTTTTTAAAGAACTGCTTATAGACAGCTGATAGTTCCATTATACTGAAAAAAAGTGATCCCTTAAAATGACAGATTCTAGATATAACACGTCCATCCTTCAAAATATATAAACCAAAATCTGTTAGAAAATAAACGAAACAGAACAGGAACCCATTTCTGTTACCCGTAAATTGGGTACAGAAATGGGTTCCTGTTCTGTTTCGTAGAAGTATTTCACTAAATGCTGTTCCTGCTGTGTCACTATTTGCAGATTTCATTTTTACTTTCCCCTTTAACCCTCCCCAAAGACAAGGAAAGGCGTGCCCATCCCTGATTAACAAACATCAGCCGAGTAGCCGCGTGGCTAATTTACACTTCATTTGCATCCATTTGTGTTAGGGTGGTTTCACAGCAGAGGTTTCTACGAAGGACGGACATTCCTCCACGAGTGGACGATAAACATTTGTTCATTATAAACAGCCAAAGGCTTTTATAGCATAGCAACATGTGACATTACCAGGCGAGCTAAACAGTATCTGCTTGGTGGAGTCAGAATGAGGACAGTTCAATTCAGGTCAAGGTAACCGAAGGAAGTAACATGATACTGCAGACTGAAAAATAAATAAAGGAAAGATCGAAACTACACTGTGTGGTTTTCAGGGGAACACTTAATTTTACTACATTAACATATACACACACACACACATATATATATATATATATATATATATATATATTATTTTTTTTTTTTTAAATCATTATCAATAACATCTATATGAAGGTAGGGCAAAAAAATAGAGTTTGACCTTTTAGTATAAGTCGACATGAAAACTTAATATTTATAAAAGAAAAAAGGTCTTAATGTAAAAATATCAACTAGCAAAACATTGGTTTGTTTCCCCAAAGGTGTCCAAGGTGCTGCTGCGATTCAAATACCAAAGAGGCTGCAGAGCTAGACAGCTCGACAACTTGTTTATGCAAAACTACCTTTCCGTGGTTCACATCCTGTCTGAGCTTGCAAAGGCAAACTGCATCAAATTCTCCAGTTCTGTGTCTGACTTGTTTCAATTCACAAACTGGGTGTGGTTTATTGCTCAGAGGGGCAACGATCAACTATCTGATCCCCGTAGCAGCAAAGCTGCTTATCTTGCTAATTTATGACACAGCAATATCAAAATATAAACACAGCAATATCAGCAAGGGGCCAGAATGTTCTCAGAAAAAAAAAAAAAACTAAATACATATATATCTCACTGGCAAAGCAAGAAAGCTCAATATTATTATTATTAGTAGTAGTATTTCATGCTAGACTTGATTTTTTTTAAACAGACGCATAAAGGAATTCATTTTAATTATAGTTAGGAAAATGAAATTATACAAACACTATTGAAAAATACAGAAACACGTCAACGAGGCATCACCAAAAACACAAAATAGATCTAAAATAATAAAAAGAACACTGCAACACACCAACCAATCCAGGGACAGACTTGAGTTCAAACAATGCCTGATTGTTGTGTTACACAGCCTGCAAGTCCCACAAAAAGACTAACACTGTGTATAAAATAAGCTTTGTTCAGTAACATAATACTCAAACTAAACATGATTAAATTCAAACTGAGGGGGTTCTGACTGAGACTGGCTAACTCGCTGTTTTTTTAAACAGTACTATCTGTAAATTTAAATTCCAGCATATCTCAGGGAAAAAAATAAATAAAAGTAATAATCAAGACTGGTAAAAGTAATAGAAGCACAACCATTTTAGCACCCTGGAGTATTTTTAGCACAGCGTCTTGGCCTGAGCCTCAAACACTCGCTGTATCATTTAACTGGAAAATATGCTCCAGTGCCGGGAAACTATTAAACAAAAAGTAGCTCAGCAACCAAACAAACCTGCATTTCAGGGCTTACTATGCTGACAAAAAAACAAGGAATCACCTGTTAAAATGCAGAAACTTGATCTGCACTTCAACCAAATCTCCAAGCATTAAAAACAAATATAACAAACCAAAGATCCCAGAAAGCTGAGAACATGAAAAAAAAAGGATTATTCATGGTTAAATTTATGCTTAAACAGAAATAAAGATGAAACTTTTCGGTTTGAAAGAGACGATGACCCACAGCTCCATTGTCTGCTCGCATGTGGAGCACAAAGAGCTGCACAAACACCCCATCCATACAAAACATCAGGATTCTGGCTTCTCATTTAGCGATTTTAAAACAGCAAAGCTTACTCAGCACAAGCAGCCCAGACCCACCAATTCAATTCAAACGGAACTGCATGTGCTAGCATAAGCACGGGGTAACCCTTCCCGTCCCACTGTAGGCAAACACAGAGCACTTTCCAAGGACAAAGACAAGTTCTTTATCACCTAGAGACAAAAAGCTAGAAAAGGGAATCCAAGGCTTTGCCTAAAGCCAAGTGTGCATGTGCTAATTTATCATCCAACCGATTAAAAACAACAACATTTCAACTTTTAAATCAAGGCTTTATGAAGGTTTGAGTTTGTTGTTGTTGCACTCACAGCTCACACCATGTACCGATACAGCCATACTTAAGATTTTGTTAGTTTGGGAAGACATGCTTGATTATGAAAAGCAGAGCCGCCTGCTATGAAACATGTCAAACCCAGAAATTAACAATTTAAAGTAAGAATTCACTAGAGTTGCAACTAACAACTATTTTTCTAATCGATACCTCTGTTGAATCTTTTTTCAGTTTAATCGATTAATAATTGGGTGGCAATAGACATCTTACAGAAGACTTTATACAAAATTTAAACCAGACGAAGCACAAACTGAACGCAAAATGTTTCTACATTTTTTTTTTTATTTTTTTTTTTTACAATTTTGGTATAATAGCTAGTCTCTATACTCCAGTTAACGGATAATATAATAATAAAATTAGCAGACAATTATTCCAATAATCTGTTAATCCAGATCAATCCAATTGGTTAGCCACAGAATTTCCTTTAAATTATCTACTCATCTGCAGTGAGGAGATGGACTCCCAATTAATAATAGCAAACGGCAACAATCACAACTACTTCTGTTTGATGAGGGATCAAATTTGACTATGTGTGCATTTGTATTTTAACTATACAGATACAAATAAATGCTAGGAAATGGTTTGTTTACTGTCATAAAATGGCACAAACAAGTGAGAATTTGATTTTAAAGAGGACATTTACAGAAAAATGTCAGGATATATGCATCACAGATGCATGTCTAGAATCTCAGTATCTCAGACTCAGTCCACCAGGAACCGCAGGAATAAAACCTGTAGTTTCTACTGGCAGAACCTGATTCAGAGGCATGTTTAAGGTGGCATACCAACCTGTTAAGATGCTTCAGTTTCTTTGGTGGCAACAGCTTTCGATTCCAAATCTCTGAAATAAAATAAACAAATTAAGTTTAAATGACACCACCAAAACCCCAAACTTAATCACAGTTGTATCAATGCTGATTACAGAAATATACTGATAGTAAGCAAAATATATGCTAAAAGGTTTGCCTAGATGTGTGTGCAGTGAGATCGGGGTATAAGATGTCTACAAACGTGCAAAAATTCTCTTCATTCAGCTCTGCATGAATGTTTCAAGAAGTCATGTGGAAATACAGGTTGAGCAGCATAACAGGAAAACACACAAACACAAATCAGTTAAGCGCCTGCGACCATGAAAGGAGACAGTGTGTGAGAAAACGTACAGATAAAAGAGAGTGTGTGTAGGTCAAAGTTACAGATCGGGTCCTGATCGGCCATTATCTCAGCTGTTCCCGGAGTTAGAGCTTAACCAACATGGCTTCTCCCGAGCATGGGGTTTGTTTAATGCATTTAAATGCTATAAACTTCGAAGATTTACTCCAATTTACTCAGATGCGCGTGAATAACAGTCTTGCTGCGATCACGACTGTCGTTTAGTAAGTAAACATTTTCGCCTGAACATGGCTGCAGAGTGAAGGGGTCTGGCATTTAGCCACAAGACTTGCAATACTGTCTTTTGCCGATAGAGGGCGTTAAATGTACCGATTTAAAAATGAAATTAAATAATAAAAAAAAAACACTATCTGCAAGTTAATAAAATAAAATCCCCAAAGACTAAGTGGGAATATAAATACAATTAAGCGACAAATAGTTGCATAAAACAAAACAACTGTGTTTTCACTGCAAGTTGCAAAAATGTCAACATTCCGTTGTAACTGCGTCGTCGAATTAGCATAGCCGCTAATGCTAGAAGCTAATGCTACGAAGCGGCTAGCAGGCTGAGCCGGTGCTAATTCACTAGCAGCCACTGGAGCTTGTATTAAATCTCAAGGAGTGTATTGGTTTTAAGTGGGACTTATTCAACTGTAGATAATCTAAAATATTGGTTCAAAATAGCACAACAACAACAACAAAAAAAACTAAATAAAAGAAATGGGTTCGCACAGCTGTCGAGGAGACAGAGGTTAGATTAGTAGTATTTGGCGCAAGGTTAACGATAAGATGCCTCTTGGTATAAATATGTAAGACGGTTATACTGTTATTTTTTCATTAAAAAATATTCCCTGCGTTGCTTGACGCTTATAGAGCAACTAAGCCACCTCGGAGGGTTTCATATGAACATGAGCCAGCTACGCTCAAACAGCCATGGCTAACTAAACAACAGGGACCCCGGTCTCCCTGCCCCGCACTCCTCTTGTGCACCAGCACGTCAGAAAGAAACCCACAAACACCGTAAAAAACAAGCTCACCTCTTTGAAGAATAAAGTGCAACAGAGTGGAAAGGAAAGCCGACTGTAAGGCTAAAGAAATTCAACGCGTTTGCAGCATCTATGAGGGTAAGCATACATCCTGCGTGATCGCCATTTTCTTCATCCGCAGCTCTCTTGTGCTCTGCTTTCCCCTCCGAGAACTACGTTTACTTCAGCGGGCTGTGTGCGCGCGCGAGAGAGCGCGTGTGTGTGTGAGCTGCTGGAGGAGGGGAGACGGGACAGGAAACACTTACCACTTCCTCTCACAGAGAAGTGAAACACAATTAAAAGTAGCCAAATAGTATCGAGAGATAGAGCAACAAAAAAAAGAATCTAAATTTCTGGCAAAGACAAACAGCATCTTCAACAGGCCTATATGAAAGACGGCACTCTTTAAAAAAAGGATGCTTTTAAATTAATAGACAAGAATGACCACAACTGAAATTTCCCAAAGAAATTAAACAAATGATAACAGCAAAGTCATTGTCAAAACTAAAATACTTTTATATTTCTTTTTTTCTTTATTATGATCATGACACCGAGCTACAGAGTAAAAGCAAATCAAGCAAAACGGGGGGAAAAAGCACTTTACTAATGATTATACTAATCCGTTTATGTTATTTGTTTCACAGAAATGTATAATCAATACAGTGGAAAAAATTTCTGCTACAATAGATTTTTAAAATCATGTTTATGATTTATAGAAAATGTAAACTAGTTGATTAATGCGATACATGCCAAAAAACATTGAAAAAAAGATCTAATATTGATTTAGCTATTTTAAGAATTACAAATATATTAGAAGATGATAGCTAATAAAATATTGAGGTTTTCCACTCATGCAGCTCACCTACAGTCAGCTGCATGACAGGTATGCCACTTATAGCTTTAAGTGACTGTGTTTTTACCTGTTGTAAAATTCTGAATGAGATAGAGCTGATGTCATGTACACAGGTGTGTTACAGAATATTAAATTAGTCAGTCCTGTAGAAATGTTCTTTTAATTTCTTGAACTCAGGAGTTAATAATGTCTGGAGAATATAACGCAGCTGCAATTTTAAGAGGGGCGGATCAAATGTATTATTTGGATAATTTTTGGTAAAGCCTCCCATATATTACATGTTTTGCAGGAAAAAAAATAAAACAGAGAAAACATGTGAAACATTAACCTGTTAAATAGCAAAATGATATATGGCTAAAAATATTTCTGATTTCACAAATTCCTTTAACATTTTACGTACATTACATTCTTTGTTTTTCACAGTGATTACTGATATGTTATCTGGGTTAAGGTTCTTCTCACCTGACTTGTGATTCGATTGTAATGCCCTTGAGGTCCCTTTGTAGGTTCAGAGGGGCTAATAAACTGCTTAGCTTGCTTACTGGGTCAGCTCTGGCTTTGGTTGTAGAAAATCCAAACAATGGATTATGACAAAAACAATGGATAAAGGTTTCTGGATAAAGTGGTGGGAGATAGCCTTAGAGATAGGACAGGGAATCAAAGTAATTCCCTACAGTGCTCAAAAACAATAGACACATATCTATCTATCTATCTATCTATCTATCTATCTATCTATCTATCTATCTATCTATCTATCTATCTATCTATCTTTATATAGATATATATATACACTCACCGGCCACTTTATTAGGTGCTAGTAACGGGTTGGACCCCCTTTTGCCTTCAGAACTGCCTCAATTCTTCGTGGCATAAATTCAACAAGGTGCTGGAAGCATTCCTCAGGGAGTTTGGTCCATATTGACATGTCATCACACAGTTGCCACAGATTTGTCGGCTGCACATC